CAAAAAAAAAAAAGAAGAAAAACACAAGAGCACGCCTTCTCCTGCTATCCATGCCCGTCGTCAAAGGTAATGATGGCGGTCGTTAAAGGTGATGATGGCTTCGAAAACTGGCGGCTGCATGTTTCCACATCTTCTCGCCGAAGCCGAAGGTATATATATATCATCACATAAATATCAGAGCGCAATATATATCGTCAGAGCGCGTATATATATCATCACATAAATATCAGAGCGCAAAAGCGAAAAAAACAACAAAGGAAAACAAAAAGGATATCAATTCAGTTTTTTTATCTTCTTCCTTACAACTCCCCCTGTTCAGAACCTCTTGCGTACAAGGCCGCCGACGTGGATGTAGGTTGAGCGGCGGCTGCCCCCACCCCCGTGTGTGGCCATTTCACACATCTGGTGGTGGGTAAGTGCAGCGAGGTCCAACTTCTTTAGTTGCCGATGGGCGGGCTCTCGCTCCAAAAGACCAAAAAAAAATTATGTCGGTGCATCTTTCCATGTTCGAGCGGAAGATTCAATCTCAATTCGACTAGTTGGTGAGTGGTGGAGCGAGAGGCCCGATCTCCCGCCAAAACACATCATCGTGCCGCCTTCACACTTGTTCTCACCCGGTTTCTCTCTCTCAATTCTTTTCAAAAAAAAAAAAAGAAGGTTTCTCTCTGAACGTTTTCTTTTCGACATACATACTGTATTAATCCACCTTACCCTCTCCTTCAATTTATGAGCTCTCCCTCCTCCTCTTCGTTCTCCCCCGTCCTGTGTCTTTCTATGGTCCTCCTCATCATCATCATCATCATCCTATCATCTCCCTCCTCCTCATCATCATCCTACCATATCCCTCCTCATCATCATCTCTTCCCTTCCCCTCCTTAACATCTCCTCCCCCCGCTTCTTCATTCTCCGTGTCGCTCGAGTTCTTTTCTTTGTTTTTTCTTTTTTTTTTTATTATCTCGAGTTCTTTTCCATTCATCGCTTCCCCTCCTTCGGTGATCTTGTCGTATGCGGTAAGATATCAGGTTCAGCTCTCATCCGCTCTTCCACGTCATCGGTTCTCTCCCACATCAACCTCCCTTCCACATGCACAAAAGACAAAATATCGCCGTGTATCTTTCCGTGTTCTAGCGAAAGATTCATTCATTCATTCTCAGCGCATCCACTTTCCACGTCATCAACCTAGATACCATCCTGTTTTCAACCAGCGGCCTCGCTTCACTACTCACCAAATGCGCAAATTGAGAATGCATCTTCCCCTAGAACGCGGAAAGATGCATCAGCATATTTTATCTTTTGTGCACGTGAAGAGTAGTTGAGCGACGCCCAAGATCATGGAAGGGAACGATGCGACAACGGGAAAACGAATCGGACGACAGGGAGAACAGAGAAGAGAGGGAACAAGATGAACCGGAGGAGGAGGAGGACGGCGAGCAGGGCAACGAAGGTGCCACGTGGAAGCGGTGATGAAGGGGACGAAGATGACGGCGACCAGAACACAAGAGGGGACAGGATTTTTTTTTATTTTTTTTTGGAAACAAAAAAGAATAGAGAAAAGGGGACTGGAGGCGGGAAAATAAGGACCTCTTTTTTTTTTTCCCTTTTTTTTTTAAAAGGACCTCACCTGTGAGGAGAGAGGGCAATGTGGCCAGCTGCCAGTGGAACAGGACATGGCAAGAGAGTAAAATACACAGACGAGAGACGATCAGCAGCTGCTGCTGCTCATGCGGCTCGGTCAGCACTGTCACGCAGGCATCAGCTAATCAATCCCGCTTCGTGCCAACAGCACGCGTTGTGTGGTGTGTCCCGATTAGGAAAGGAAGCAAACGCGAACGCAGTTTGCAGTTACGATGGGGCTACTAGTAGGTCCCACTTGCACGAATTAAGAGATACTGACCGTAGATAGCGAAGATCAACGGCCGATATCTCCTAATTTGCGCAAGTGGGACCTTGCCCCAGGGAACGTTGCGCTTACACTGGAGTGGGATGCAAGTTGATGTTTATTCCAGCTGCACGTCCGCAGGTGGATCCCGGGGCTAGGTCCCACTTACACGAATTAAGCGATATTGACCGTAGAGTGCAAAGATCAACGGCCAGAATCTCTTAAACCACCAGTACCCCGCCCTGATAAAAAAAAACGAGCTCCTGAATTCAAGGAGCTACCAAACAGGCCCGGTAGAGGCTCGGGGGCGCCTCGGACCTCTTCCGTTTTCGAATCGAAGRGGGGTAGGGCKGGGGGGGGGGGCGACTTCGACTCAAATCGGACAAAACCATGGTGGGCGGGAAAACCAAGAAAGAAAAAAGACTTTTTCATTGTGAAAATAAAGAAAACGGAAAAAAAAAAACAAAACAGGTAGTGGCCATTTGTCCCATTTGGGACACATCGCTGGCGGCGGGGCAAGGGCGGTCGTTGGTGGCATCGTAGCGGTCTGTCGGCCGTTGCTGCGGCCGTTGCAGCAACAGCAAAAACGACCGCCGCCACCCCGCTTGCTGCCCGAACGGGATGCCTTGCTGCCTACTACCCGAACGCCCGTCCCACGGGACCGCCACTTTTGCCAGCCCTTGCCTCCCGGCGTGTACGCTGGTGAGCTGCACTGCGCAACGGCCATAGCCATCATCAGCGAGGACGGCGTGCCTTGCACGCGCGACCGAGAGAGAGAAAGAAAGAGAGAGAGAGAGAGAGAGAGAGAGAGAGAGAGAGAGAGAGAGAGAGATGTAGCGGGCGATGGTGGGGTACAGCTTGCAGCGGACGGCGGGGTAGCGGGCGCTACATGCGGATGCACACACACACAGAGAGAGAGAGAGAGAGAGAGAGAGAGAGAGAGAGAGAGCAACAGTCAAAAAATGTGGCGGGTGCATCTGGCCATGTTGTAGCCGGAAGTTCATTCCCATTTTGCACTTCACGAGAGGGCACGCGCACTCGGCGCTGGCGGCGTGCAGCGGGGAGCGGCACCTGACGCTGGCGGTGTGCAGCGGGGTGGGCTGCGCCACCTGGCGC